TAAAGCTAATGGCCAGGTTGAAAGATTAGTAAAAGTCATAACCGACTCATTAACCGCATACTGCTCCGAAGCACGCGATATGTGGTGTGATTTCCTTCAACCCATCGTGTTCGCATACAACACCAGCATTAATGACACTACAGGATACAGCCCATACTTCGTCGCTTACGGACGTCACCCTATCACATGGAGTGATATTATTCATCAACTTCCATCTCGTATTTCCTACGCTTCGGACAGTTTCGCTGATCAACTCACAACAGCTTTACAAACTACAATCACAAACGTTGGAAACCAAATCGCAAACAAAACAGCATTATACAAAGCAGGGTATGATTTTCAGCATAAGGTTTTCTCCAAACAAATCTCTATTGGAGACCTCGTACTCTTACACGATGAAAGGATACGCCCCAAATTTACCATTCCATGGAAAGGCCCCTTTCTAGTAACAAAGATTAATCGTCCCAACATTACCATTCAAAGTTTGATTGGCCCCAAATCTACTCAAACTGTACATATCAATAGACTTAAGATCTATTGTCCCCGCTCTTCATCGGCTAATGTTTCCGAACCAACCTCAACCACTCCTTCACCTCATATAATGGAAACATCAGAAGATGATGAGCAACCTCTAAATCGCCTTCCAAATTTAGAGCCTCACGATCAGGATTTAGAAACTGACAGCACAGACTCTGAAGAACTCTAATTGTGGAAAAATCATTTCTCCACTACCAATTGGTAGGTTTCAAACCTTTTTTTCCCATTTTCTCGCGCATCGCTGCTTCAACAATCAAACTCCTTTGAGCCGACGACTCCAAGAAGTCACACAAACTTTATCGCTTCAGCAAGCGCTAACAATCAACCACAATCACCATTAACTTTAACAATACAAAATTTCGTCCTAGTCTTACACTAGTGAATTGTACCAGTGTAAACTAGCCCCTCCATAATCAAACATACCATAACTCCGCTTGTAACATTATGCTATACACAGTCTAATGACCAATTTTTGCAATTTATTTTTTTTTATTGTACCAAGCAAAACCCCCTATTAGCTACTACATTTTCGCTGTACTTTTCATTACAATGCTCAGCCTAATTTAAATGTTAACATATAATTCGCGCAATAATTTCCAATGTCACCCCACACTTAACAATACCACCCATCCCCCTACAAAAACACCATCCCACCCCCTCGAACTTACCACAACGACAGTCCTCACACGGATCATCATCACTCTTCAACCAACCATCCTTCTTCCCAGCTCGAGGACGAGCTATCTACACCACCCGAAGGAGAGGAAAAGGTCGTAGCTGCGCCAACAGCTCACCTAATCCCCCCTTCACTACGTTCAAACCGCTAGCTGAACGACACCATCATCAGTATTTCAACCAGCCTATTAAGACGCTCGAGGACGAGCTTTCCGTAGGAGCGGAGATGTCATGAGATCATTTCATCAGATTGCATAACATTGGGTAATATTGAGTCACATCACTTGTTATGCAATGTACTGAGTCACCACCTCACATCACTTGTTATGCAATATCTTACCCCGCCCTAACCGCTGTTATTGTTGTAAGACGGACCAGCATATAAGAAGAGGACTGGAGACCTTCAGGGACTCACGGACACTCACACTCACCCCTTCCCCTCCCCCTACCTCTTTTGTCTTTTTATATCTTTAGTAATAAACATATATAATCATCATGTTCAATACACCGTAACACCGCTACACCTTTAGGCAAGGGCTCGTACACCCCTTGTTCCTGACAGACCCTCATCGAACCTTTGTTGCTCCTCTTATAGCATAACTTTCATTACATTCTCCATCATATATATCCTTGTTTCGTCTTTCAATCTGTTTTTAATCACATATTATTCGTGCCTTAACATGATAAAAGGTACACAAAAATAGTTCCTATAACGGTAGTCCTTATAGATCACACTTATGCGGTTGTTGAGTACTTATGTTGACACGAGGGACTTTGCGGTGCTTGGTTTGCGGGACAGTTGACTGCGACACCTCAGACTTGGGTAATTAAACTTTATTATAACAACACCAATCACATTGATGGACAATATAAAAACTTGAGAACTATGAGATGAGATTATGACATTATGAGATACTAGACCTGTGAGACTGTAGTAACAACTGAGAAATCAACAGTGCAAGTGAACAACGCAGAACAAAGCAATACACTAGTAATACAAGCATATGGGAAATATGAGTTGAGATGTGTTATGTGAAACTGTGGTTCTGTGGGACTTTCAAAGATCTGTGACAGACTGTGAAGTTGTGAAAAGACTATAAGTTTTAACAACAAAGACTACAACAGCAAGCAATAAAGTAAATAATGAGAAAAACCTGTAAAGCGCGCTAGCCTTGCCAAAAGTACCAGCCACTAATATATGTAAGCGATCATAAGCAAATTCCATTGAGCATGAGAAATCTACTGATAATCTGACAGATAACAAACAATAAACAAAAGCCTGTGAGAAAGATCGTGTTTTAACCGCTGTTGATATCTTCGCAAAAGTACAATACCAACAGGAAAGTTCGTATAACAGTCTTATACCTTAACTCATCTAGACACTTACGTTCTTTAGTTTATAAAGTTGGGCATGACTATAAAGGACGCCATTGTAAGTCGCTGAACCCAGAATTTTACAGAGTCACAAAATTAATTACGGGGATACGGTAACTCCCTTGCACGTTACCCGAGGCAACCATGTGTAGATGCTGTTCTGACAAAAACTATTTTCAACAACTAATATGGAGTAACACTGTTTTTTTTTTCTAAAATTTCTTCATAAATAAGCAAAACTAGAGCGTCCTTCTATGAACATATATCTAGTGAATTCCGGTCTTCTTCAAAACAATAATTTGTTACCAAGGAGCAAAACAATTCCAACAAATCAAGTATGTAATCATGATTTTTCATGAATTTGTTTTTTATAATCGTAACAAATGTGTTGACGCTGAAGTATCCACCACGATGATACTCCACCGGACCCATCCGAGATGGTTTAGCCATGCTTTGAACTGCTGAGTCGCAATGCTATCTACGAACTCTTTCTGTGATTGTGCTGCTAAAAAGTTTGATTTAAATTTTCCAAATTCCGTTTCTCCGAAAAGCATAGCTCGATTTTTACGATTCGCTTTTACTTCTCGGTTGTCGTACATTGTTATATCTGTTCCTCTGCATATTATAATTGCTTTCTCATCTGTTATAGCTTTCTTGATCAATATATTCAAAAATTGCTTGATGTTTACATAACAATGGATTATGTTCACTGCTACGTGCGAAGTGAGTTTTCCTTCTGATTCATTTTCAGGTTTTTTTTTCTACATACTTGAGGAGGTTTCCAGCATTTGTCCGTGCAAAAGAGATCGTAGTCGTGCCCAAGAGCTCCAAAGAAAGTTTTGGAAGCTTTGCACACTTCACGCGAGTTCACGTTACAAAAACAATTTTCTGCAACTAATTTTTTTTTCAGATAAAATCATTTCGATCAAACATATATAAGAGCAATTAAATGCTTGATATTGAACATGTGAAAAACATCCAAAAACTCCGATAATGGGGCCTCTCCGCAAGAAGGTATTGCAATTTTCCTCTCACATCAACTGTACAATTCGGCACAGAAAACGAACGCCACCTTTTTTGAGAGACCAAGGTTAGATAACATCGCATGATTAAAAAAAACAGCTCCTCTCTTATATCCCCTTTTTATTAGTACCATATTGCGTTTGGAAAAATAAATTTGGAATGGCATATTTGTTTGATTTCCAATTGAAAAATAAAAGAAATCAATACTATAAACTTAAGTACACATTTACAGCAGTTCAGATATGCATTTAACATTTTTAATTTGAAAATTTGACATTTCAATAGCAAAATCTCTACCGATAGTATGCAATTTGGTGAATCATTCAATTTCAAAAGATTTATTTTTCTGCTCTACGATCGCACCTATAGAGAGTACCGAAAGTTTCAAGAAATTTCGTCAGACGCTTTGGATTGTTGCGCAAGGGTGCACACGTGTTATAGGAGCTATACCAATAAACCAATAACCAATCTTTAAAGTGCATTGTTGAAATAATGCAAAGAATCATAGTTCTTTTCTCTTTGCTTCTCAATGCCTTTCTTTGTATGCGTATAATTTGACCCCATAAAAGGAACAGAAACGGAGCGTCTTTGTATTGCAATTTGAATTTTCAAAAAATCAAGACCACATATTCACACAAACTTCAACAGTGGTTAGAGGAAAGACGATTTTCGTGATTTTAAGCCTTGCGAGCACTCCAACTGATGGGATTTTCCTTGACCATGCTGAGAGTCTGGAAATTGTGCAACTAAAGATTTTTGAAATCAATAATCTTCAATAATGCCATAAACTGTTATTATTTTTCCCGGTATTAACATTAAAAAAATTGAACGTCAACCAGGGAATCTGATAGGTAAACAGTAGAACTAGCACTGTAACTGCTGCTGTTTAGAACCATCATGATTTATAAAAGATACAAATCAATTTTTCATAACTAAAAAATGGAAAATGACAGAAAAAGCTTAGCAGTGGGCACGACTATCCGAAAATTCTTTTTGCCAGTATTTTGAAGGAAATGAAATAAAGGAAAGATAAAGCAAAGAGTGGGGAAGGAAATAAAAGGAAAAAGGCCCCGGAAAATATTTGCTTTGTAAAAATGAAGAAGGAAAAAGAAAAGAAAGCAAAATGATTTGAGAGAAGTAACAAAAAAATTTCTACGAAGATTATAGATGGCCTATGATTTCTCTATTCATTCATTTTGATTTCTTACAGCGTCTCCTGTTCTCTTCCATTACATTCTGAATCGTACATAAAGAACAATGGCAAAATTTTGCGCATTCCAACAATTTTCCTCTTTTCCACAACTCTCGCGTAAATCTCGTCTCTTTCAACATCAGTTTAAAAATAGCGTTTCGAAAATACTACGAGGTTCCCCCCGTCACATGTGTTTTCAGCCACGATTGCATCAGAGTGCGTTTCGCGAACGTTCAGTGCGGTCAGCACCCATCGGCGAGAGAGTATTCGCCGCGCGGAGACGCAGACAGCGAACATTCGCGAATGTTCGCGAACATCGCGTCGCGCGCTATAAAACCGCATCAGCTGAGCCGTGCCTCACACTGCTCACGTCTTCGACTTACTAGTAACGCGTACAAGATGTCTCTGTGGTTCCGACCAGCTTCTTTCTTTCCCCGAGTCGTCGAGGAAGCCATGCGCGACTTTCGACAGATGGAACGAATGATGTTTACTCCGTTAAGTCAAATTCCTATCGAAGGAATGAGCGCGGAGCAAGTTACTGGAGAGGTGAGTAATCCTCATTTTTTTCCTGCGAAATGTTTGTAACAGATTATTTCTGATATTTTCCCTAATTTCACAAAGTAAGAATTGCTTTCTTCTGAGCTTGTGATTTTTTACGATGTTTTTGACGATATTTCTTCACGCAGTTTGTTTGATATCATTTTATCACCTTGCGCAAAGTGCAAATGAGACAAAGTGCAAGATGAAGTTCAATGCAAGATAGATTTAGTTCAACATTTACTGTAAAGAAATATTTTTTGATTGATCACGAATGGGGAGAAAAGTAAGGGACGAGTTGGAACCCATTTTGTACATTTTTATTGGTTTTGTCGGAATTTTTAGCTTTTCTGTGAAAAATTTCACGGTGGTGATGCAGTCAGAAATCAAATTTAATCATTAGAATTACGCTTTTGTCTTTTTTTTTTCGTAGTGTAAGATCAAGAAAACCATAGTTTGATTAAAAATCACTACAGAAAGACAAAAATGTGTTTTTTCTTTTGGGGTTCTTTCCTGAAAAAAATCCTAAATCCGAGATGCAAAAGTGAAAAAAGAGTAGAATGCCGATTAGAAATATTAACAACTTATTTTTGTCTTTCAAAAAACACTTTTTCTTCCGTTTTTAGTTGAACAACGTTCATGGCCCAGTAATTCATTATTTATATAAAAACTCCTTTTTTCTCTTTTTGTTGAATAAGGTTAACGGTTCTATACTTAAGTGTCTATATCCGATTTTTTCAGACAGTCAACGACGACAAGAAATTCTCCGTAGCCATCGATGTCTCCAGATTCAAGCCAGAAAATCTGAAAGTTAACCTGGATGGCCACAAACTGACCATTGAGGGCAAGCAAGAGGTGAAGGAAGAGAATGGCTATTCCATGAGGTTGGTAGCATGTTTTCTCTTTTTTATTTTTTCCATTGATTTTTCTGAATCGCAATCAAGTGCTGCTATTTTTAGGTCATTTGTTCGATCATGGGTCTTGCCGGAGAATGTCGACCTTGAAGCCCTCAAATCATCCCTCAGTGATAACGGACGCCTTTCCATTGAAGCTCCTAAGATCCAGAAGCCAGAGCCAGAAACTGGCAGGAGCATCCCAATCGAACGTGTCAGCAATGCGAAGCCTGTCACCGAGAAGTAAATGGTTTTAGTGGATGATTGCATTTAGAAACTTGTTATTTCAAATTGTTGACTTTCAACGAGTACATTTTGATTTTGCGGATCCTCATGAATTTAGTTTTGTATAGATGTTATTCGTTGTAAATTATAGAACCCTCAATAAACATTGGTAGACGAACCTGTTATCTACAGAATGATCTTACCTATTCTTCAAAAAAAAGATAAAAAACACTTGTTGACCGAACAAGTGCGAGCGATTGCTATCTGTCCTCTTAAACTCTAGTTGTTTGAAGACGATATGTGAAATTTTAGAAGTGGCTGTGTCTCAACATTATACGAGAAGACACTTTTTTTTACAAAAAAAAACAAAATCTTCCAGCCACCTGTAAAAATTAGTCTAGTTTGAATTTTTTTCAAGAAGTTAGGGTTTCAGGATTGCTTAAAAAGGAGCGAAAAATTCAAAGAAAAAATTTTAAAAAAATTTAGAAACTTCAGAAAAATTCCAGAAAAGCACTCCAGTAAACTTTTAGTCGCCCTCCCCCCCCCCCTTCCTCCATCGTCACCGTTATTGGAAGTCGCCTTACCTTACATAGCGCATACTATTCTCCAACGTTCAAAAGATTTGCAAATTTTATCGATTTTGCTCAAATGTTTATTTATGATGTACTTACTGCATTATCGTGCGCGCCAAAATAGACTTTTGATTAAATAATGGTTGAAACAAAGTTTTGAAGTGCAGCCATCACGGTGCAGATCCCTTGGACTCCACATGATGGCCTGCGCAAAAATCGAGGAAGGCAGGACGAAAAAAGAGCGAGGGAACTACTATTCAGAGAAATTCTTGATGGATATCTGGGATGTCAGACCTCTTCACTTAGCTTCATGGAAATTTCGGGATCACACATATGTACCAGTTAAAATAAAGGGTGTTTCTATAGCTGTAAAACTATATCTGTCGCGTTGTTCTATGACGGTGTTCTTCGCGAAATTCTTGTAGGCTATTTCCATCAGCAGCTTTTAGGAAAGGAAGAGAGAAAAGGTTGAGGGGGGAGCGGAATTTGCTCCAAGAAAATCAAACTTCCGAAAATTTTACTGCATGCTAAAAGTATTGGCAATTCGAGATCTTCCAGTATTGCCAGACATAATTTGCCTATGGAAGTGTGTTATCCTCTGGTAGAGCTTCTGGAATTACGCTAACAAGCGGTGAGAGGTCAAAATCCCATTGAAGTTGTGCCGATTTTTTTATCGGCAAAAGACTGCGAAATCAAGTTTGCTTGGTATGGTCCGTTTACAAAGATTAGGTGAAAAAATGCAGAAATTACAAAAATTAAATAAAATTGAGGAATTGTGCGAGTGGTTCGTTTTTACTTATTAAGGTTGAACTCTCAAAATTTTCAAGTTGAAATTAGCCTTGCAAAAAATGGATATGACCTAATAAAAATTTTAGAGAGGCTCCCAAAAATTCTGAAGGGATTGGCTGACGCTATATCCGAAAAGAAAATCTTGTCGCGCCCTCTCCCTTGCAACAAGATTCTTGAACCGCCACCAGTGTGCTAAACACCCCCGCGCTCGGTTTGCTTCTTCGAAATCTGTGGATGGAATTATAGCTGATCCCTGACGGGTGATGATATTGATTGGAGCTAAATCGGTAGACCGACTAGACGTGTATCCGGTCTGCTCAAACAATTTTTTGGAAAATCGCCAATGACGTTGTTAAGTGCTATGTTGACGATAGGGAATGGGAAGATCTCTGCAAAGTTTTTTTTGTTAAAATACCAAAAAGCTACAAATCAAAAAAAAAAGTTGGCGTTCAGCGGTAACAGCCATAATCAAAATCTATGTACGTTTGAGAATAAGTACCCATTAAAAAACTGCTTGCTTTTTTTCATTAGTCCCTATGATTGCTTGGGTCTGTCGTACCAAAAAATCGCGGTTTTCTAAATTATTCGCAACGACTCACACCTACTATTATATGACTTATCCCATTATTCCAATGCCGCCTACGTAGTAGCTCCTTGTTCACCTTCCATTGCTCTCACATCTCAAACGTCTAAAGCCGCGTCATCATATATAGATGACGTCAAGTCGCAAAAACTGAATGACAAGATTAATCAGCGATCGGAATGCGTATTTCACAAGTGATAATGCTTCATGAGAAATCTACGACTAAAGAAATTCAGCGCAAAAGATGAGTGTTCTTCTGGGAATTTATGCAGAACATTCGTGAAAACATTAGCCAGCTGCTACAAGGACTGTACAACGACGATGCAGCTAATCCATCGCCCCCTTCCATCCCCTTTAGGAAGGAGGTTCGGCAAGGCGACACAATCTCGCTGAAGCTGATCTCAGCAGCCTTGCAGTGGTTGGTGAAGTCACTGGACTGGGACGAGAGAGGAAATTGATGGGATTGATTCTTCTCGAACTTCTTCGTTTTGGAAACCATCGTTCACTTTTCGAGCAGTACTACTGAAGCGGGGAAGATGCTGAAGGAGGCAAAGAAGGGAAGAAGATCGGACTACGAATAAATGGAAAAAGACTGACTATGAAGACCACCCTTTGGAAAGATGCGGAACTTCACTGATATGATCCCTGCGCCTTATGCACCCCGGGCTAACAATAAGCGTACAGTCGCTTCATTTCATACGATCATGTGTATCATTGCACACAGTTCACCTTTGGCGTCCCCATCCTGGATTCGTGGGAGAAAGAAGCCTTCAGGTAAGTGCTTCCAAGGTGTTCTTAGCATTTTCTTTCCTTTTTAGTTACTAGTCACCTCAAATTGATGTAATTGATAACACTCGGTAAGTCTCTTGCGTTTTTGCGATTGCAAATCCAGGATGAGGACGCCAAAGTGGACTGTGTGTGCAACGGCACACATGATCATATGAAATGAAGCGACTGTACAATCGAGTAGATTTTCCGCTTAATATAGTGTGCTTGCACTGAAGGTGAAATGCGGTAAAATTTGCGCGTGAGCAATTAGCTGCGCCCGTGACGCCGGCCAATTGCGCGCGCAAAAGGCTGGCATTAATGGCGTGGCTACTTGTTCACGCGCCAATTTTACCAAATTTTGCACTGAATTTCATCTTCAGTGCAAGCACACTATATTACGCGGAAAATCTACTCGACTGTACACGCCTCAAGGTTTTACGCGATACCGTAACCTCAAAATCACTATTACCAGATATCATGCTTTATCTGACCGGAAAATTATACTAATCGCGCATGAAGCAACTCACCAACAGTAAGTAATTTGAACCCTGTACTAAACAACCAACCTATACAACTGCAATGTTAAATCTCTGAAGCGGAACATTTCCCTTTACCCCCTTATCTAAGAATAAGAGCATTGCTTTAGGGTTACAATAGACGACTCTGCCCATTTCTGTTTTGCGCACGGTTTGTGAAAAAGCGAATTTTCACTGAAAAATTGCAAACTCGGAATCCTTTTTCACAAATTACAAGCATGCAATTAGTAGTACAAATTACAAGCATGCAATTAGCAGCTGTATGAATTTGCCTCAACGGTGCACGCGATTTCACCGATATTCCCAAAATGTGTTGGCAACGAATGATTGCAGCATAGCATGAACAAGCTGTGCAAATTCAGAATGCCCCTTTTCATCAGCTTCAGCAGACGCCAGTTTTGCAAAAGGAGACGATGACAGCTTTGAGGAAAAAGTAGCCTTTGATGTGCGCCCTTTTTTGTCCCTTTAACGCGTTTCGGACCGGTGCTACACATGGTGCAGCACGCGCCTTTCAAGGATCTTTTCAATGTTTGCAGGAGGATTTCTTTTTGTCCAAAGCTATCAAATCAAAGGGCTAAGCTCCTCCTTTTCAAATGACTCTGTAGAGCTGTGCCGACGGTATTTGGTTAGAAGATATGAGGACAAATCGAACAACAGTTGCAATGAAGAGCGGCAACGCGAACGACGCGTGCGACGTCGCAACTTTTCTTTGCTTTGAATACAAAGAGAAAAACCGTGGTTTCAGTAATGATGTGTACTGTATACAACATAGATACTTTTGGATAGCATTAGAAACTGAGTTCTTGTTCCTATCTTTCAGGAAAGAACACGAATCCTTCTCAGGCGACAAAATTCAAACACTTCGAATTCACTCAAAACTTTGGGTTTGGATATTATCTGACATGCTGATTACAAATGTAGCACACAGTCTACGAATTAAGGCCCCTTTGTTGGCTAACGGCTGGAAGTACCCTCTTTTTCGTCGCGCGCGATTTCGCGGTCCGAAACGTGTTAAACAGATTTATATGCATACATTTTCAAACAAAGTAAAATGAAGCTTTAGGCCCTATTTGGCTATCCAGGCCTCAGATTTTTTTGTAGTGGATTCGCCTCAAACTAGGTCCAGGGGGGCTATCTGACATGCTGACCACAAACATCACATTTGTTCCGCACCAAAACGCCTTGGTTACGGAAGGTAAAGGGTCCAGTTCGAGGGGAATATCTCAGCCGTTAGAGCACTACGTGCGCTGCCGCTGGGCAGCCCTTTAATTGGGGCCCCAAAAGTATTTTCCACGTAAAATCCTCATAGGTCCAGATCTGCCTTGACGCTGCCTTTAAAGGCAGTGGATCGGCAAAATCCAACAACTCAGGATTTTAACGCCGTAGGTTCCTTATCGCCCAAGTTTGAAAACAGTGCAATCCCGGTTGCAGAGCGTGCTTTCCCTGCCGAGAAAATCGCTCTCGAACTTACACGCGCAGGCCAATCTTACACGCATCTGGACGAGTTGGCAATTTCCTTCTCACCATTGGAGGCTGCCCGCCGCAACGCTTTAACCATTGGGTCCTGCAACGATTTTATTGCTACTAGAGACTCTTGGGCGGTTTTGCCCGTAACGAGAATACAAGTACAAAAGACGGTGGTTCAGGATTTATTAACGAGAGTTAACAAGAGTACAACGAGTATGCGAGCAGGAGAACGATACCTTTCTGTTCCACGATGGATATGCCAGTGACAAGAGGGGAGTAAGGTTCGGCCACGCCTATCTCGGCGTGACCTAAGGTCGCGGCGGGGCATCATCATCGGCACGATGATAGATTTAGTGTCATCGGCCTTGCTCCACTCGTCCAATTCCAAAGGGAAGGGCATTAAAAAACGCTTATTTTCGCCGTTTTCAAGCTTTCAAAAGTGGATTTTCGGGATCAGCGTATTGAATAAGCCAGGTAAGCGCAAATTTGACTAAGTTGAGATTTGCCGAGCCACTGCCTTTAAGAGAAGAGCGGTTCTTGAAGTTTTCCCTTGGTCGGGAATCCTTTCTTTCTGATGATAAAATGTTAAGTGCAATGCGAAAATCTCGAGTAAACGTTGTCCACCGGCTCGCAGAAGTACAACGGAAAGATGGTTTGGTCCTGGAGCCGTGGATGTCTTTATGGTCTGAATCGCCCTGCGCACATCGGCAGGTATCCGTGGTGGTAACCTTCTAGTGTGAACAACGGGCGTCGGCATGGGTGTTAAGCGTAAGGGGTTGTGTAGACGTTTTTCGCGATAGACAGTATCTTATATCGGGCAGAAATCGGAGTCCCGTCTTCGTTCAATAGTGCAGCCAGCGGTACGTGATATTCGCAGAGGTCCCTTCGGCACTTCTTGAGATTTCGTCTTCTTTCGGCTGCTTCCAGTATCTTGGCTTGCCTATACTTCCTGAATCCTCCTGCAAAGCTGCTCTGCAACTGGCTTTGGCTATCAGTCGCTCGAAATAGATTGCATTCGGGTCCTGCCTTAGAAATTTTCTTTCGAGCAATTCCTTCGTGATTTTCATAGTGCGTTCCAAGTTTTTCTCAGTCACTGAGCGCACTCTCCGCAGGCTCACAATCCTTTCAGAAGCCGGTCGTAGTCGTACGTTGCGTCCTCCTCGATGGGCCAGTCACAACGTGATATGAGCTATTCCAGCCTGTTACCGTCATGAACGACAGACTTCCTTCTTACGTCACTGTGGCACACCTTCTTTTCCAGCTTCCAACAGAATCGCACCTTCGCCAGGCTGCTGTGATCGGAGCCACTGCAAAAGGATGGAACTACCGAGACATCAAGAAGCTTCACCTTCGGTTGGTGGGAATGTTGTCGATCTCTGCGTGAGTCGTTCCGTTAGGCGATTCGTTTTCGCCGGCGATATTTCTTCTCCGTGAAAATGGAATTTCCACGGAAAAGTCGTGGGCGGAGACAAGCCCAACGAGAAAATTGTCATGTTCGTTCCGGAGCCCAAATCCAAACTTCCCGATCCTACATTCCTCTTTTGGTGGTGTCCCGATTTGGAGTTGAAGTCGCCCAAAAGAATCTTAAAAGGATTCTTTGTTGCGGACGACGTCCTTCACGTCTTCGAGGAGGCATCTAGCACTGATTCGTCAGCTGCTGATGTTGGGGAGTAGCAGTGATGATGTTGGTGATCTTCTGACGTGGAGGTCGTGGTAGGTGGCTAGTATAAGATTCTCATGCATGGGTATAGACAAGATACCCACGCATGAGAATGGGTGGACGACAAAGCCAACGCCTACAACGTTGCGTGATGGAACTTCCTCACCACAAATGATGAGGGTCCCATCACTCGTCTGTCGCATGTCCTTCGTCGTTTCTGTCCAATCCAAAAGGCGCCCTGAAGACCCTGACATCGTTCTTGCTACCACCCGGCGTCGTAGGCGGAATCCGATGTGCAGAGTTTCCTTCTCTTCTAACTGGTGGAGTGATAACATTTTCCCCCACAGAAGCAGACTTACTAGGCCAACTCCTGATTTTCATCGGGCGTCCCAACGCGAAGTTTTGCGCAAATTCAGAACTTTTAACCCATTTACCGTATACCCACCGCGACTCATGAGAATTGTGCTATCTTACGAAATCAATGTGATATGGTGTTCAGCAAAATGCGCCAAATGACCTCTCAAAACGGGTAAGGCAAATCGTGATTTTTATCTCATACCGTATATAACTCCATGAAAAAGTCCCCACCACGCGAAAAGAGAATGATTTTTGTGATAGAATATCGGATAAGACCTCCGATCCAAAGAAGCCAAATCCATGACTATTAATCCCCTCATCGTATACCTACCGTAACCACACGTGGAGACATTCTCGCGCGGAGAAATGGTATTCTCGTCAACAGTCAGATAACTTTGCATCTTCAGTAGGCACACCTACCGAGTGTTCTACAAGTTTTCTTTTCACATCGATTCATGTGGCAATCACGCGTTGGCTTGTTTCAATGCGAGCAAAACGTGAGCATGCATCTTCACTGTTTGGTTCGTATCACTTTTTGTAGGAATGTTTCACGAACGTCAACATCTCAAGCTGATTTGTTCTGAGATTAAGAATAAGAGACTCAAGTACGCTTTGCACACATTTTCCAAACAAGTCTGAACTTGTTCTTATCTGGTTCCAAAGCATAAAATGATCTAAATGGATATACCACAAGAGTATAGATTTGTCAACCACACGAGCTTATTTAGACAATATGCGCAAACGTTCTCCCCCCCCCCCCCCTCCCCTCCCCTAGTCTCCCAGAACGAATAGCTCCGCGCAAAGCGTTGTGTGCAACCTTGAAGGACTCACTTCTACGCAACGCGTCTTCCTTAAAGGCAGTGGATCGGCAAAATCCAACAACTCGGCATTTTAACGCGGTAGGTTCCTTCTCGCCCAACTATGAAAATAGTGCAATCCCGGTTGCACAGCATCCTTTCCCTGCTGAGAAAATCGCTCTCGAAAAAACACGCGCAGGGCAATCTTACACTCACTGGACAAGTTGGCAATTTTCTTCTCACCATTGGAGGCTGCCCGCCGCAACGCTATAACCATTGGTCCTGCCACGATTTAGCGTCATCGGCCTTGCTCCATTCGTCCGATATCAAAGGAAAGGGCATTAAAAACGCTCATTTTCGCCGTTTTCAAGCTTTCAAAAGCGGATTTTCGGGATCAGCGTATTGAAAAACCCCAGGTAAGCGCAAATTTTGAGATTTACCGACCCACTGCCTTTAGATAGACCAGCAAAAAAGATGTTACAGAACTACGTCACTCAAATGCATCCAGCAAAACTACGTAGAATCTAACTAATATATGAATCGTTAATTCAAAAATGTGCAAATAGCGGAAAACCGCGTGGCGATCAGCGAACGCTCCTCCAAATAGCACTTTTGCCTCCGATAAACTACGGCAAAACCTCTGTTTTGCACTTTCTCAGGGGTGAAGGTTCATTCGTCAGCTTTACGTACAATGATGGGACTCATCCCGACATAAGCCATGGTACTGATACATATGCCACTGCATAACCAACAAACATAGATCTTCAGTAACAAGTCAAAACATTCTGATAACCTATGGAACATCTCGAACAATCATTTGCCTTCAGTAACCACAGGAATTACCGGAAAACTGGGAATCGCTAACATATCAATGCGTTCGGTGGTGACAATATGCGTGATAGACTACACGTCATGGTCGGAGTACTTCATCTACGAGTGCATATGCAAAGCCGCCATTTGCCCATCTCGCAGATGCATCAACTTGTTGAAAGCGGGCCGTCGTGGGATCCTCTGTCTTGTCTGTATATCGCATTGCCACGCGATGCCAATCCATAGTCGGATCTGTTATCTAGAACCTAAAATATTCGGCCCTTCGAGGGACTACACTCTTAGTAAACGACGGAGTGAATAGTGCTCAACCCTCAGGATGAAAGCGGTACAAGTCCGTAAAACGAATACCATAACGCGTGCACGCGTTTCTCGGAATTATCACGAGTCCTCTGGCGGTATCACTTCTCTTCTGGAAAGCGGCTCAGCGCGACTTGCCCATTTCTTCTCGACAGCGCTGCTATCCAATCGTCACCGACGCTATTTTGACATTCCTACAGATCTCCAAGTCCTAATCATGCGGCTTCTGCCCGTGACGTCAGCAGTCGTCCCAACTCCGGGTGGGTGGGAGGGTCCTTAGCTGACGAAAGACCGGAATGGTCAAAACAGTGCCAAGCACGCGCCTCACGGAAACCCCGCCCCGCGTGCTTGGCACGACAGCCGTGTTGCGAAATTGCAAAACTCCATCTTTGAATTACTGGTTCACTAGTTCGCCAAAGCAGAGGTGACGCACTGGTTTCCAGAACCGATAAAAACGAACGCTGATCGTTGTGATCGCGCACTTCCACATAGGACCGCGGTGTGCACTTTAGAACGGTGGGCGTGACTCAGCGCCGGCGCGATGCCGCGCGCGACGTCGCGCGGCGCCGTTCTTGCACTCGCTCACACACACACGCACACACACACAGACACATTTTCACTTTTACTCCTCACATCGTCCGCGCCCGCCGCTGTGAGCATTTGAGGCTCTTTATTCGTTTCACGCTAAACAACGATTTTAGTCGTCGTGGATTCTACGTGACATGACTGATGCGAAAACAAAGTGAGTTGCCATGTTGTGCTCTTTCTTAGAACGAACGCTGTCCTCGGCGGGGGCTCTGCGCGCTGTTCTTGGGAAAACGCTCGATAGGCTCAAACGGCTGGCATGGATTGCTAAGTCTTCGGCTAGAAATTCCGACGCACAGAACGCCTTGCCATAAAATGGCACTCAATTTGAGGAAATTGTTATCGAAAAGCTGTCTGCCAGGAATTTTCACGTTAATCGATAAAATATGGCGATGCATGTGTGGGATGTTTTCCCCTCCTAGACGTCAGACATCTGTCAATACATGCACTAAATAATACTGCATACACATCTATAGAAATAGGTCATTTCGTTAGTAAAGATTTTTCCCACGTAGACATCGTAATCAGGACAGTTTTTCCTACTGCGAAGGCTGCTGTATTGCGAAATCGGGGAAACGTGAAGCTCTTGCGCAATCGAAAATTAGCCAGTCAGTCCTCTTTTCCCCTCAAATATTTGAGAAATTCAGTAGGATTCCTTTTTCAAGTGCCCGTAAGTGTTCTGATGTGTTGGTGAGAGGGGCATCTAGACAGATGCACTGTTGAATCAATAACGTTTTTTCCTTCTCTTGCAATCCAGTTCAGACAGTGTTTGTTGCAGTCGTCGAAAGACTATCAAGCAAGTTGAGAACTATCGATTGAGGGGTAATATGACAGAATATTGTTGATGACTTGAAAATGTTTTTGACATCACTTTCATTTATCTAGTCAGCTGTTAAAAGTCATAGTATGTTCAGTGGCGGAACAAATTGTTTTCGTTCTTACGTGGCTTAGTATAGCGGCAAAATTTGGTTTTCGCATTCTTTCTTTGTAGACGCGATTAGCTGGAAAACTTGGAAAAGGACGCAAAGTCGATTTTCTCTTTTTCTGGTAATTATCTCAGCTGTCTGTGGTTGCCAACTGCTCCTTTCGCTCGCCGCACTCAGTTGACCTTCAGTAAATCGCATGTAATTACTTCAATAATGAGTGTCATTTTGAGAGCGGGCAGTGAAATTTCAGAATGTTCGACCTGCTTGAAGAAAGATTCTCAAGATTTCTTGGCAAGGTGTTGATTTTTGATTCTCATCACATTTATAATTTTGAATTTAGGAGGATGCAGTTCGCTTCTGATTATTTTAGGCGCCTTAGTAGTTTTGATGTTTTTTTTTTTTGCTAAAAATTATTCAATTCTTTCGGCCTCCTTGTCTTTGATGGCAGTCTTAGGTTTCATAACTCTAAAAGTACAAGCTATTCAAAACTTCCCCTATGAGTTTAAGTGACTCATTTGCCCGCACAGAATGCCTTTCACCACCTCTGGCCTCTCTCCAATTGTGTGCACTTTTGATTGCTCTCGCGTCTGGCGTCTCTTGCGAGCACATACACTGTCTTAGAAGCAATAGCGTTTGATCGCAGCCTTTGATGAATAGCTTATGGTATTACTAGCTGGCTTACCCGGCTCCGCCGTATCCGGACCAAACTTGGCACACATACACTTCGGGCCCCGGCGGGTGTCACAGTCCACTTTTCGTTATCGATCGATGTCGATTTTACCGATTTTTATCGATTTTTTTGCAGAGTTCACCTACAGGGCTAAGAGTTGGCACAGGGGGGAAGTGAGCATGGGGATTCCGAATACAATATTAGTTTTCAGAATTATCGATTACTTTTATTGATTTTATCGATTTTTTGTAAATTTTGACATGCGAGGCTGGGATTTTGCACAGGGGGGTAATCGAGCATGCTGATTACGAACACAATATTAGTTTTCAGGATCGTCCATTACTTTTATCGATTTTATCGATTTTTTTCTAAAGTTTGACCTGCGGGGCTGGGAGTTTGCACAGGGGGTAATCGAGCATGCAGATTACGAATACAATATTGGTTTTCAAGATCGTCCATTACTTTTATCGATTTTATCGATTTTTTGAAAATTTGAGCTAGGGGCTGGAATTTGGCACAGGGGTGTAATCGAGCATGCTGATCACCCCCCTTGGGGATGATCAGCATGCTCGATTACCCCCCTGTGCCAACTCCCAGCCCCCTAGCTCAAACTTTGCAAAAAAATCGATAAAATCGATAAAAGTAATCGATAATCCCGAAAACCAATATTGTATTCGGAATCCCCATGCTCGATTACCCCCCTGTGCGAACTCCCAGCCCCGTAGCTCAAACTTTGCAAAAAATCGATAAAATCGATAAAAGTAATCGATAATCCTGAAAACCAATATTGTATTCGGAATCCACATGCTCGATTACCCCCCTGTGCCAACTCCCAGCCCCGTAGCTCAAACTTTGCAAAAAAATCGATAAAATCGATAAAAGTAATCGATAATCCCGAAAACCAATATTGTATTCGGAATCCCCATGCTCGATTACCCCCCTGTGCCAACTCCCAGCCCCGTAGGTGAACTCAGCAAAAAAATCGATAAAAATCGATAAAATCGATATCGATCGATGACGAAAAGTAGTCTATGACACCCGCCGGGGCCCGTAGTGTATGTGTGCCAAGTTTGGTCCGGATCGGTTCAGAAATGGAATTTTCTATTCGGAACATACGTACATACAGACATACAGACAGACATACAAACAGACATTCAGCTTTATATATAAGATAGAAACAGTTTCTTCGTTTGTTTTAGGTAACTTGATCGTAGAGTTCAAAGGTTTTGCTTTGATTTTCTTCATTCTTATCTCCCAATCGCCAATTTGCACTTTTGATCGCGTCAAAATCATTCGCGAACGCGTTCAGCTCTTATCTTTTGCCATGAAACTTTCATAGCGATGAAACAATCATTTCACAAAGTTCAGTCGTTGAACAAGGTGGTGTGCGGTTAGGCCTTTGCCCCTGTGACGTCAGCGTCAGAAATTTCACACTGTGCGCTGAATGTTGAATGCGAGGTATGCATATACATTTGTCATGCCTGTGTAGACGAAGAGAACAGCGCTTTCTGCCGAGGAATTTCTAATGAAGGATACGTTATTTTGTTGTTTTCCATACTAGTGTTATGTTTAGGGACAAGCATGTAAACAACGGTACGTCCGCTGGTCCGGTGTCGGTCGACTCCGACGGCCTGATCGAGGTAAGAATTTTCTTTAGGTTTTTTAGGTCTAAGTGCTAAGTTTTTGTTTATTGATGGTTATAACGTACTATTTTCGTCCACTATCGCGACTTCGTAATCCTCGAAGCCGCTGTAATCGGATTCGGGACGAAATCGAAGTCAACAGAGAATGTTTTTGAAGGGTGTGACAGCGCTCTTACACCTGCACTTTTTGTGGAGTCGGTGAAACTGCATGTCAAGAGCAAATCTCAAAATTTCGTGGAAATTTTCCCGTTGGAACTATTTTTGCACTTTAGAGAGATTGATGCTTTTTTGGAAAAGATTTGGGGAACTAAAGCGCCATGCTATGCCTAAGCTGTTCACTTCTACTTCCAAAAGAGTAGCTGTCCCGTGAATTTAATGGGTCACTGAACTAAACAAATGTGCCCATATCATGATTGATTATCTTTATGGATTACTTATCTTCCTAGCATGCTTCTCTTTTATTCTTTGACAGACGCATAAAACTCATTTGAGTTTCTCTGCCATTGTGCCTTGGCTTTTTGTATGAAAAAAAAAATCGAAATCGATCCAGCGTTTTTCGTTTGCGCAACGATGACAGCCATTTACAGCCCCATTTCGCAGCCATGAGCCATAACACAGCTACATCATAGCCGACAGATGTCTATAAATAGCTTGAAAACTACTAGTAGCGATATGGGGTTGTAACAAACTTTCGAGAACTCTGTATCTAGAATTTTGCAAATTTGGACAACTTCATGGACCAGTAACTATGATCGGCCAGATTTGTGGAGGCAGATTGACTTCCCTGATTTCAAGGATAAGCTCAACAAGAGATACGAAATACAATGCCAGAACGTAGAGGTTTAACAAGTTTGCCCTGAAAATCAGGGAAGTCCGCAACCCGCCTCCACACGAATGTGGAAGCCGATGGTACTTTAAAACCATTAGATTCACCTTTTATATATAGTAATTTCGTTAGAATTTCGAAAATTCGTATTGGATAATTCGCAAACCTTTCTATTGGGTTTTTAATGTTGCTTCTAAGTCTAACGGCATTAGTCTTCTTCTGTTTAATGTTTTAACGCATCAAAAATAGTAATTAATGAACTTGGTGGGACTATTCTAGCCGCACATATTGGATGTGCACAGCTCCAATTAAACCTGTTCACTCTATTCGCTCTACATATGCAGTAGCTGGTTTGGCATTATAGGCGCGAGTTCGCTTATACACTTAGTGCAGGGTAGAATGTTTTATATGGTTTGCTTTTCTGTGAATCTGATCCAGTTTGCCGGAAAGATTGAAGTGCCTGATGGTTTAAAGTGTGTATCAAAAAGCGTTCTGGAAAATGTGGTTTGAGTGAACTTCAAATGTACACTTGGAGTGGTGGCTTTAGGTTTAGTGAGCTGGAAGTTTTTCTGAGGGATGATTTGAGTTTGCAGTGGGTGGTAAAGAGATCGTTATTTATAGGGGGTGTTCCCGCGAATTTTTTTGCCAATCTGAGCCATAAATTCAACTCATTGTTTTTTTATATTTGTTAATGATCAAATAATTCGGTTTTTTGATGATAATTAGCTTTGTTTAGAAAGAATTCGAGCTTTTTTTCAATCTTGGTATTTCATACCTGAAAAAAGCTAGCAGCTCGCAAAAGTTTTTTCCTTGGTAATGTATTTGACAGCCGGCTACATCACCCATGAAAGGAAACAAATCAAAATCTGTGTTTCACATCATTTGAATTATCTCTCGGAATTTAAGGGGAGCAAGCCAGCTTCTTAGAAAGCGTGCATAGCGTTCTAGAGTCTCCGTTCGGAGAATGATATAGAGTTCATCCTCATTTGCCCAGGCCTCTCATGTAATTGCACCACCTAAGAATCTTGTAAAAAGTGGCAGCTTTGGGAATTGGTGGATGCAGACACAATTTTCTACTAGCTGTATGCCATGTGCGAGTTTCAACTGATTCTATACATCCTGGAAAACGTTGCAGTCACAGGAGGAATCCAAGCCATTTCAGTAACTTTTGAAACAATGAAATGATGATACGGCTGGTACTTTTTATGGCTGGTGAAAATTCTTCAGAGTTGCATTTCCGTGCTGCCACAAAGGCGGCAGAATTGCGGGGATCGGCTATTTCAAAACAAACAAAACATCCTCAGCACTGAAACCTGGGCACAAAAAAAAATTTGCATTATCTATGTGCTGACTATCCATCTGTTCTGATCGTTGTCGCGTACAGAATCTGCCAAAATATGTCAGGTCGATCACCTCTTCAGTTTTTATCGTGTTTTTTTTTACTGGCCATATAAGGCTGCTTGATCGGGCGGAAAGCAAGAAACTGTCATTTCTTTTTTGTAAAGATTTTGCGTGGTAATTCACTAGACAATTAGTCAAGTATAAAACGATCTCAAGTTTGCCATTTACTTGGAACCCACCGTTTTCATAATCCCTCGTTTTTTATTTACTTTAAACTGCTATTGAGCGAACAGTTTTCTTCATTTCCGTAAACAACGGTAATCGATTAGTAAATAGGTCTGGAAAACACGTACGTTCAGCCAGTGTATTGCTGGCTCTATTCAGTACAGAATGTTGATTGATCGGCGGGCAAACAGTCCGCGTATCCCATTCAGAGTGTTTTGTACTTTTTTTTCGTCCAATGCATCATCACAATGGATGTCAATGAACACAATTTTAGGGCAACTATGACCAAGTGGTGCCGTCGTTCGATGAGATGAATCTTAAGGAAAATCTCCTACGTGGAGTATATGCATTTGGTTTTGAAAAGCCATCCGCAATTCAGCAGCGTGCTATCGTACCGTGCTGTTCATGTGAGTTTTGCATTTGTAATCTAGTTCGTTGCTGTTTCGCTAATGTGCGCCAACATGGCGTGATCACCTTTTTTTCTTGCCGGCATTTGACAGAATTACTGCCCAATTATCGAAGTTTCCTCGTATGTGGCGCACACATGTAGCCCACACATAGACCTTAGAAAATTGCTTGTGGGAGTTGTTTGAAGTAGGTCTACCAGGACGGGAAGTCATTTGGATTAGTTGCAGAAGCTGTAGAGAAGGAGAAGGTGAATAAAAACTTCATCGATCTTAGCGGCTGTTAGACATGTAGGCTTCAGGAAGGCGGAAAAGCATGTAGCTGCTTTTTTTAGGGAGAGAAGTAAATCACTTTGATAATCCGGAAATCATGGGTAAAAATCTTGGTCCAATTTTGCTTGTGCAAAGTGGACTTTTTGGATATATGAATTGTTAGACAAACAGGATCTAAACCGCTCAATTTTGCTTTCATTCGATTGCCACAGGCACACGAAAGGAGGGAGGGGGGGGGGGTGAGAGAAAGGAACCAATTGCCATCGGTTAATGCTCACGCTACGCTTGTCTATAATTATGTACCTGTACATCTTTCGCTGCAACCCCATTTGGCATGACTGGAATCCTAGCGAATCTCTATATTTTTTATTGTAAATTGGCTCTCAATCATCAGATAATGCTTAATTACCGAAAATTAGAAAATGAAGCAATAAGGTAAGCTTAATAGGCAAGCCTCAAAATGGATTCCATCATTCCAAGTGTCGATCGTGGAAACCCAAATGTCACTTTGTTTTGCGTTGTGACTGGCTTAGGAAGCAGATCGGTCATCTCAGCATTGTTGCTTTATGGATAAACTAATGTAACTTATGAAGTTTTTCATAAAGTCGGATGTGCTAGTGACTGAAAAAAATCTATTACTACGCATATCTTGATGCAGGTGCGTGTTACTAGCAGGTAATCTATCCCGAGTCAGCACTTCAGCTGGCTCTGCTAATCGTTTATGACATTATCTGAGGTTATAATGGCGGACGAAATTCCACCGGGTTTTCTCCAACACAACGAGAATTGATCAGCTGATTATTGATACGACTGTAGTCAACTAAGTGAAAGCGTTTGGAAATGAGCATGGAAAATGCTAAATCTTCCCTTATCCTCCCATTTTCCCTCTTGCTGGCGGCTTTTGCTCCAAAGTTATTTTCCTGTTCGAAAGACATAATTGCCAAAAAAAAAATGCAGGCGAAGCGAAGTTCACACTACGACGTCGAGTGGATCTTTGCGCGCTTATACACATGCATTACGGGGAAATGAAACCTGGCATTTGTCTGGAAACTTTTCCATCTTTCAAGACTTATTGAAGCCACGTTAATTTTGCGATTTTAACAAAGAGATGGCAACTAATCGAAAATTTATTGTTGCACAAGACATAGATATGCACAGCTTCAATGGATTCATGGAAAATGTTTGAAGTTTTTACATTTGAGGACTTGCAATCCACAAGCTAATCAACGCGTCGGTCCTAGTCATATTGACTTATTGAAATGGACTAACCCTCCCTCCATCTCCTTCTGCTTTTCTTGTTGTAGCTTTTGTACCCTAAACTAATCTTACCATGTTGTGAGAAAGTTCTTGGTTTTTCCTTGCTTCAACCCCCCCCCCCACTCATTCCCTTAGAAGTGGTGATTGGCTGACGCGAACTTCAGGCTTCCTGATAAGATTTTGACATTCATAATACCTCATTCAAAATGACTGTTTTTAGCGCGTGATGTGATTGCTCAAGCTCAGTCTGGTACCGGAAAAACGGCTACTTTCTCGATTTCAATCCTGCAACGGATCGACGAAACAAAGCCGTATGTGCAGGCACTAGTCATGGCTCCTACTAGGGAGTTGGCGCAGCAAGTGAGCAGTTTGTTTTTGCAGTCAGAATTCTATTTATTCTATTCAATTTATTGAAGAGTCGTTGAGTTCAAGAAGTCAAAAGTCTTTTATTTTAGATCCAAAAAGTGATGATCGCACTTGGTGACTATATGAAAGTCAAAGTGCATGCATGCATTGGTGGAACTAGTATTCGCGACGATCAACGAAAATTGGAAGCTGGTGTACATGTTGTGGTCGGAACACCTGGTCGTGTTAATGATATGATTAGCCGAGATATTTTGGGTGGGTCTGAGTATCTTGTTACATTTTTTCCTTAATTGCAGAATAATAACTCGAGTCAGTGGACAGACAGGGGAAGACTCTGATCGGGTATCACTACTCAGACAGTTGGAGCGGGCAGCGCGCGCGCAGTCACACGGTGGCGCAACACCCAGTGCGCGGGTGGCGGGACATTGGATGCCGCGCCGCTGGTGCTGGCCCGCGTATGGCTGCTTTTTTTCAGTTTTTCATTGCGCTGTATACCACAGGTCTTGATAATGAATTCCACTCTTCATACGCCAAAAAATATGAATTCATATTTGAATCCAAAAATTCAGATCTAGCATCCATTTGCAGTGCTACCGAAGGCTAACGCTTGAAAGTAAAAAACAACTTCCACTTCTGTATTCATACACTACGATGTAATTTCTAACATCTTGAATGATGAGGCAGCCTGACCACTGCGTCGTACACTGCGCGGGTATCCCTTGTGCTTACAGCATGTGATAATTGCAGGCGCGCGGGCCGCACGGGTAGAGTATAAAGGCGCGCGCGCGGCGTGCTACAAAATTAGGCGCGCGGGTGGCGAGATCGAACATAAACGTAGCGCGCGGGTCGCGGTGTTGGCCATTAATACGCGCGCCGCACGCACCAAATGTCTAGGATGGTACGTGTTTGGCGTAGTGCCGGACACGCCCACAAATAAGGCACGCGCTTTGCCGCATTGACCATAAACGCGCGTGCGCCGCACGCTCCAGCTATCTGAGTAGGGTGTTGGTGAAGGCTGTCACCAAATTCATTCTTTGCATTTTTTGCTTTGTATAATTCTGTGCTCGCTATATAATCATTTAAATACTGATATTTAGACCTGAGTACTGAATTGTTGTTTTTGTCTTTGCTAGATCTTAATCCGAACGCTTTCAGTTACTTCATATATCAAGATGTTTGTACTGGATGAAGCTGACGAAATGCTTTCTCGTGGTTTCAAGGATCAGATTTACGAAGTCTTTAAGACGATGCCGCAGGATGTTCAAGTAAGCCTAAACTTTACTTCCCATGTTTTACGTCTATTAATCACATAGAACGCTTCAACACTCAATAAAACTTGTGTTAAGGTCGTTCTTCTCTCTGCAACCATGCCGGCAGATGTGCTTGATGTAACAGAATGCTTCATGAGAAATCCCATCAGAATTCTTGTGAAAAAGGAAGAGTTGACCCTTGAAGGAATTCGTCAGTTTTATGTGAATGTCCAAAAAGATGTGAGTTGTTTGCTGCGTATGTTGAAGCATAGAAAATGTGCTTAATTTTTCTTTTTCAAAAATTCATTGGCGCTCCATTCGTCTCCTTTTGCGTGCAAGTGAAATAGGCAATTTTCATTTTTCTGTCAATGTGCATGCAGGATCGCAATTCCCTCTGTAGGTTAGCGTGCGGTTTGATTGGGTGGGGACCTAGCAGCTCTAAGGCGGGTGGCAGCGAAAATGACACTCTGAGGGAAACGTCGTCCAGATTTGTCAAGATTAGGTGTCAGATTCTTTTTAATCTTTTTATGGGTTCAGAAATCGGCTGTTTCTTTGAATGTTTCATCAACTTGCGGTGTGCCGTTTAGTCTCATGAGTTTTGCAGCTTTTAAGCTCTAGATAATCCAAAATCAGATCCTTGAAAGGATGCTTGTTTTAACGTCAGTGTTGCAGGAGTACAAATTCGAGACGCTTTGCGATCTCTATAATGTGATCAACGTCACACAGTCTGTGATTTTCTGCAATACAAGAAGAAAGGTACGGTTTGTGTTCGAAGGGAGTTTTTGCTTTGTCAAACTACTCTTTTTAAGGTTGAGCAGCTCAACGAACAGATGACGGCACAGAAATTCACTGTTTCATGTTTGCATGGAGACATGGAACAGATGGAACGTGACGTCATTATGCGGGAATTCCGTTCGGGTTCCTCACGTGTGCTAATCACTACGGATCTCCTTGCTCGCGGTATCGACGTTCAGCAGGTAAGAATAGGATGATATTCTTTTTTCCATAAATGGCAGCGGGGGAGGAATACCGTCGCGAGGCGCTGCCTTCGCGACCACCAGTCAGGCACAGGCTATGGGATGCCGCGTGGAACAGTTGTCCGCGGAGGCGGTGCTTATCGGCGGTATTCGTTTTCCAACCCTCTTGGCCACTTGTAATGATTAGTTTTTGTACGAGAGAGACAGACACTGCTTATTTAGGTGTCTCTTGTGATTAACTACGACCTGCCGTCGAACCGCGAAAATTACATTCACCGTATCGGTCGATCGGGTCGTTTCGGAAGAAAGGGAGTGGCGATCAACTTCATCACAGACAATGACGCTAGACAATTAAAAGACATCGAGCAGTTCTACAACACAGTCATTGAAGAGATGCCAATGTCAATCGTGGATTTGCTCTAGAGGTGAAGGTCACAAAAACCCTGCTTCCAGCTTCTTTCCCAGTGATTTATTATTCTTTGTCATTCTATCCTCATGGTGTTCATTTAAATGGTGATCATAGACATATTTTATCGGCTTTGAGTTTATCATAATCGAGTTAATAAAATCTTTCATAGTTCTGCTGAGTTTTTTTTAGGTAGTGTAGCAAATAAGGGCTTTGCCGTAGCCCATAATAACAGCATTGACTTTTTTTGGATGTCTGCAGTTTCACTTGAGTCAAAAACATTTCAATGCTGCTATATTAGTTTGTAATTTGGATAAGCTGTCGGTGATGCCAGATCCAAGGCTAGCGCTCCTATCAAGACCCGGTGGGTGCGCTCAGCGCTGCTTCATAAAAATGAATGGAAGTGGGGAGGTATAGAAGCATTGATAATTTACATACTTCACGACTGGAAGACAAACACACAGGGAGATAGCGTTCAATTCGGCCTTTTCTTTTCCCGCACTAAAGATTTTCATATCGATAAACCTTGCCATCCAACATCTTTCCCTCCGGAGAGCCGATATTGTCGGCGGATGCTGCCATATCGCACAGGTGGACAACGACCGTCGAATCTTTCTGCTTCTTCGCTTTTTTTTCTATTTTTGAGGTAGTCAACGTGAGCAGCCGAATTAGTTGCATACACTTCCAGTAATGAGTCAATCACCAATCACACTTTTGATTTCGTTTTCCATACAAAATCTTGTTGAAAGATAGTGGCGGCTACGCGGATACAATCCGCCTCTCTCAGAGCCTTTTTCATAAGTGCACACCCAGATGCTAGGAATGCAACAATGAGTCCCTTCTTTTGGAACCCTTGCCCACTCTCTGTAGATACCTCGACATTGAGCCTTTTGTTCTTCATCACACATTTTTCTGAGATCAAACCTTTGTGTAGGTTCTACTTCTTACCCTTTTTCTATGTGAAGCTTTTTCATTTGTGCTACTGTGTGCCTTCTGGCCAAACTGCACCTTCTTTGCCTTCTCCCGTACGACTATAGATTCGCTTTATCCTTCTTCCACTAACGAAACTTTCCTCTTTTTCTTACAAAACTTGCCGATGTGTTCGTCGTTTTGAGAGGTCAATGTTGAGACGCTGAAGGCCTTTTTTGTAGTCTTCATAATTAAGAACTTTGCTTTCGCCTTGTACAAAGTAACTAACAACCCCTCCTTTTCTCTTGCTTTCTTATGTGCTTCTTGCTGAAGCTTCACGCTGATAATCAGCTCTCATTGCGTTAGTATCAGTAGCTCTTCTTTGTTCTTGGACTCATGAAATGCTACTTTGCGTCTGCGCCCTTTTTTCAGCTCCTTTATTTCTAACTATTCCAAAAGACTCCATGAGCTTGTTTGACGCATCAAATACGCTTTCTCTAAGTCTGGTGAGTATAATACTGTTGACGCAGTGTCTGTCAGCGCTGGTACTTTAGAGTACCTGATACCTAAAATTTTGGGTACTACCGTTCTCTTACCAAGTATACCGTTTGTACCGGAGTTCTGTGAGTTTATGTTTGTACCATGCTGGTAAGGTGAATTCATGTCTGTGGGACTCTGCTGTAGGTAGATAAACGGATTTCGAGTAAATAGCATTAAAGTAGAATTATCAAGTTGATGCAAAAGTAATGGCCGTTCTGCAATTTTTCAATTTAACGTGCTATAATTTTCTGAAAAATCCACATTTCTAAGGCGATAAAGACGGGTGGAGGATATTAGGTCGCCATTAGGCTCCACCCACGCGGACAGATAGCATGGGACAGTAATAGTGAAAGCGCGCGTTTCGTTGCAAATGCCCCCCTGGGACCGCCCCTTTCGGCGACCTAATGTCCTCTACCCGATAAAGAGCATCAGAAGCAGCAAACCTTTTGCAATACATCGCACATTCGTCTGTACTCAATTACAATATCGAACAGAAAAATATGGATTGAAAAACAGAAATTTTTATCTCAATCCTTGTTTTTGACAAACCCTCACTCCCTTCAAAGTTTGTTAACATAACTGATAAGTTGCCTATCTTGTAGCTGCAAGCCAGTAGGAGAGAAGAAGATGAAGAGACTTGGCAAAAAAGCTTCGAGAAATAGAAAAATCATAAACTAAAACTGTCAGGTTTCATGAAATAATGTTTAAGCCGTGCAGGTTTGTCAAAGGCAGCGGCTCGGCAGATTTTGCATTTCCACCTTTTTGCATGTTTTGGGCCTTCTCGACCCGTAGATCCCGAATCTGAGCTTTAAAAGGGGTGAAAAGGCCTTTTCTGGGCGTTTTTTTCAATTTCCAAAAGGCAGCTCGGACGAGAATTTTCAAAAGGAAAGTCGGGAGGTCCTCGTACGAAGACCCTGCTGCCTGTAATTTTGGCTTTGTATAGCATGTATAATGCGGGAAAGCGGTCGGGAGGTCCCGCGCCGTCTAGCGGAGAATACTCGTCCGAACAAGGTGTTACGGGGGTAGAGGAACGAACGCCTCAATTAGGCATCGCCTTCGCGGGGGTGGGGGAACGAAAGCCGCCAGGTCCAGCCGCCTCCGCGGACTGCTGGTCCTGGAACGACATGCAACAACGCTGCGAAAGGACCAACTGGCCGCGAAAGGCGGCTGGACCTGGCGGCTTTCGTTCCCCCACCCCCTTCGCGGGCTGCTGGTCCTTTCGTCCTACTGTTGTGCATCGTGTTGGGACCAGTGGTCCGCGGAGGCGGTGCCTAATTGAGGCGTTCGTTCCTTCACTCGGTGTTAGGGGAGCGAAAGGAGGAAGGGGAGCGGCGCTTGGGCCGCCCCCCTGGCTTGCAGAGTTCACATTTTCGGCGCGGAGTTGCTGTTTTGGTTCACTTGCATGGCCTCCTATCCATCTGTGTCAAAATCTGAGGTAGGTCAATCTGCCGAGCCGCTGCCTTTAAGTAGTTTACTCAGCCTATCGTTTCGGCAATAATGCCTTCCTCAGAGACCTGAAAGAAAGTCTCGCATTGTTTTGCACAATGTAGATCAAACCTCTTTTCTCAACTAGCTTAGATGCCTCGGAAGCAAGCATATTTGCTTCCGAGGCATCGAGCTGAGCTAGTGGAGAAGAGAGGTTTGATCGTACATGGTGCAAATCAGTGTGAGACTTTCTTTCAGGTCTCTGAGAAAGGCATTATTCCGAAACATTGAAGTGAAAAAACAACTCAACAAACCTGCGTGGTTTAAATATTTTTTCATAAATTCAAGACAACGCCCAGGTGTTATGGTCAGAGAACATATAGGATACTAGCTGGCTTACTCGGCTCCGCCCGACCCTGTCAAAACACTATGATAAAGGTCCTATCCCTATCCATGTACAGGGGCTTTCAATCTGAGTGTCACCGTCGACGTCGTTCAGATCCTCGCGAGCCGCCTCGCATGGGTCTTTCACGTGGTACAGCACCGCATCACCTATCGTTTCGCGGTATCGGTTGCGGTAGTGTACCACGTGAGAGACTTAGCGAGGAGGCTCGCGAGGACTTGAACCACGTCGACTGTGACACTCAGATTGAAAGCCCCTGTATATACAACCTTCCCCTGTGTCCACTTATTATTATTATTATTATTTATTACATAGGCGCACCTATGCGAATAACACAACAAACGAAACAAACAACAAATCGATCAACAATAACAAACCAAACGCAGTAATTAATAATAACAAACATTCAAACATGATAAGGGAGATTAAGAAGAAAAGAATGCTACGAAGGGGAGGATAGACAGCTCTTGAGGGTATTTCGAAATTGTGCCAACTTGACAGGAAAGTTGTTTTCCTAATAAGCTTATCAATATCCCGAGTAACTCTGCTCACATTTCTCCTAGGCCGCTGTAAAACAATCTTACTCGAACCTCCTCTGGTTATGGAATTTCTCCTCTCAAAAAAGTCTGAAGCATTGAGCTTGCAGCTTCCAAACAGAATCTTATGAACCATAACCAGATCAAATACGCGCCTTCTAGCGGCAAGAGTCTCAAGACCCTACTTATTATTTGTTAAGGTGTAATTGGGAAAACGACCATATATGAACTCATTTCTCCTTACCAGTAGTTTCCTGGTAAAGCTGTCTTGGACTTCTAAAACGTGAATACTCTCTTACTCTTACAAGGGTTAAAAACAACAGTCCGGTACTCAAGTAATGGTCTGATATAGACTTTATAAGCTCGCAATAGAAAATCAATATTATTTGTTATGAAGGCTCTAAACAAACTGTAAACAGCAAAAACTCCTTTTGCAGCAATTGACTGGCAGTGTTTATCAAAGTTAAGTTGGCTATTGAACAAGAAACCTAAGTCAGTCAGTTCGCTTACATACTCAAGTACATCATGTCTTATCATGTAGGAATAGTCAACCGAATTGGGCTCTATAGACAATACCTTCGTTTTCTCACGTGAGATGGGCAAGCGCCAGTCCTCCGACCATCTAACCACAAGATCTAGAGCTCCCTGTAACTTATCTTTATCACCGTGGTCAGAATTGGTGCTGTAGATCTGGAAGTCATCAGCGAAGGCACAGCAAGAAACACCAGCATTCAGTACAAGATCAGGAAGCTCATAAGTATATATATTGAACAATATCGGAGAAAGGACCCCATCTTGGGGCACGCCACTCAACATGGGTCTAGGAGTAGAGAAAGCCTCATTAACCCGGACCATAAATGAACATTCATGCAAAAAGGCCTGTATTCAAGATACGACACTGGGATGAATTCCAACCATTTTCAACTTAACTGTCAGCTTAACGTGCGAGACTTCATCAATGCTTTAGTGAAATCGAGATAAATATTATAACATCAATGCCTTTCCCTGCATCTAGGGCTCGAGTCCAGTCATTTAGCGAATGTAACATAGCTGTGACTGTTGACTTTCCCTCTTGAAAACCATGTTGAGCGCTTGAAATGATTCCATGAGAACTTAGATGCCTCACAATTCGCTTCTTCAATATTTTTCCGAACAATCTAGCAAATATGGATGTGATACTAATATTCCGGTAATTGCGAGCAGAAGTAAGAGGTTTCTTTTTAGGTATGGGAGTTACATAGGATAGCCTCCATCTGTCAGGAACTTCAGACTTCATCAAACCTAAGTTAAATATGAACTGCAAGGGCTTGGCTATTACATGGGCAACTTCTCTAATAAACTGAAGAGATATATGATCAGGCGT